TGCCCACAGGAGACCTACCTGATGAAGCACATGTCCAAACACACTGTGGTGGAGCACCTGGTGAGCCATCACTCACCCCAGAGGACGGAGTCCCCAGGCATCCCAGTGCGAATCTCTCTCATCTGAGCCCCACCTGAGGCGCCGCCCGCCCGGCCCACTGGCAGGCTGACACCAGGCCCCGGGGCCTCCGGGCACTGCTGATCTCTTCATGACCTTCCAAACCTGCCAGGAAGCTTGGGCTGCAGAAGCCCTGCTTGGTCCAGTCCCGGGCCGGTCAGGCAGGCCAGTTGCAAGGTTCTGGACTGTTTTGGTGGCATCCAAAGACGATCTCAGAGCACTTTGAACCTGTCTGTTGAGTTTTCTTTTTGTTCCCCACCCCTCACTTGCTTCACTTTTTTTTTTTTTTAAGTTTGTTTTGGAAATAACAAAAAAAAAAAAAAAAAAAAAAAAAAGCTATTTATTGGCCAGGACATTGGTGCTGCTAAGACCGAGAAATGAAAAGGATCAGGCAGATGGATGCAGAGAACCAGAGGGCTGCGTGGGACCTTCTCTGGCCATGGCCTCAGGTCTTAAGGGAAGGCTCAGGTCTGGGGCTCTGGACTGCAAAGGGGTCCCCAGATGGGTGGGAGCCGAGGCAGCTGGAGTTGAGCCCTTTAGCCCTGGTGCCCAGCTCCTACCACTGAGCAGAGGGTGTGGCAGCTACCAGGGCTGTCCAGGCTTCAGGAGGCCGAAAAACGAGGGGCCGGGAGATCTGTAGGACCAAAGGGTGCAGTGACAGGCTGGGCGGCGGGCCCAGGGAAATGGGGTGGGGTGGGCTGGGTAAGACCCGGTCCCTCCCCTGATGCCCTGAAGACCACCCCAGTCTACCTCGGTGCTGGCCAGGAAACCTATCGGCTACCTCTCCTGTCATCCCAGACTGTGGGCAGGGGGATGGGAGGGAGTGGGCCTGGGCCTGGGACCTCCTTCCAGAATTTCCTCCAGATGGGGTCAGCGCCCAGGGTGGGGGAATCCTCAGCCCGGGTGCACCCCTCCGCAGGGAAGGGATCCTTGGGGAGGGTCCCAGGAGCAGACCCTGCCCCCAGCCCCCACAGACACACCCCAATCTGAAAGCCATGCGTGTCCATGTATATAGGAACCATGTACAGAGCCCGGAGAAGCCCTTCCACATCCCCTCGGGAAAAAAAAAAAGAAAACTAGACAGAAACTCATCTATATATTCTGTATCTGGAGTTCCGTTTTGAATATTAACTGTGTTATTTTTATACACTTTTTAAGCCTTAACTCGCCATTGATTTTCCAGTTTAACGTTTCCTGGGGTTTCTTTTCCCATGGGGTTCTCTGCCCCCACCCTCGCCCCTTTGTTTGACTTGCGTCGTCTGATACTCAGTATTGTAGCTTTTTGTCCGCATGTTATTGCCCTGTAAATAAGCTGTCATACATACTGTTAACACCCCTTTGCTTTTTTCTATGGGACCTCCAGGCCACCATATTTAGAACTAGTTACCTTATTAAAAAAAAAAAAAAAAGAAAAGAAAAGAGTCTGTTGGCTTCTCAGTCTGCATCTTGGTGGCAGGGAGGTGAGGGCAGGTGTCCCTCAGACACTTCAGGAGAGAAGTTTGCATCCTATTTTAAAAAGGGGGTGGGGAGCAAGGTAAAAATCGAATGTGGGGGAAAAACACTAAAAGGGGCAAAAAAAAAAAAAAACTAGGGAATTACAACCCCTCTGCTCTTTGTATTTCTCTGTTGTGAAGAATAAACTGTACCTGCACCCGGGTGGCAGTGATGTGTGACGTGCTGTGTGTGACAGCGGGAAGGGGCACCTTTCCACGACTCCTCTCCCCTCCCCTCCCCTAACTGGGGGCAAGGAAATGGTGGCTTACTGGGGGCTGGTCTCACCCTAGGGCAGAGCCCCTAGTGCTCTGTGCTGAACTGTTAAGTGTCAAGGACATACGTTTACCAGGTCTGTCTAGTTCTAAAGCCTTTGTACATATTCTGGGCCCCCCAAGGGGTCTCACTTGCACTGCCTTCTGAGGAGCACCGCACCCTCTGGGGGCTCCATCAAGAGTGCCTGGTTTGTGGAAGCTGTTCCCACGTTTGAAGGGAACAGACTTTCTTCAAGAGGTCCCCTCCACGCACATTTCCCCCCACAGAGGAGCCAGTGTTGTGACTGCATAGGAGGAGAATAAAGGAATGAATCCCCCCAAGTTTATCGAGGCTGGCCCTGTGGAGCGTCCTGGGGTAACTCAGCCACACGCCACTATGGAGCTCATCGTTGGGACCTCATTCTTCTGAGTCCTCATGGTCTTCATGGGTCAAGGCTTGTCGGCGAGTGACAGAAGGTCCAAATTCCTAGGACAGCTTCAGCATCCAAAGAATGTGTCGCTGGCTCTCCACTGGCTCTTCATTCTCAGGTTCCTGTGGGGTCAACTCCAGCCTACAGTCCTGCTCAGCCTTCCAGCAGCCATCCTGTCCCTTTGTCAGAAGCCCCAGCAGGGATCTCATGGGGTCTTCCTCCTTCTGGCCCAGGCATGGTATGTAATGGTTTGGCTTGGGCCCATGATCTACGGCTGGAGCAGAGAGCAAAGCCTCCATCCAAAGTATATCTTCCCAAGAGGAAACCAAGAGTACGTTGCCACAGAAGGGGGAATGAATGGGGGGATCCCAGAACCAGCATGTTTTCATTAATCTCAAGGCCTCATTTCTTGCTCTGAAATTGACTTTCCACAGCCTGCAATGCCTGGAGGGGATGGGCTCTGGCAGCTATATGGTACCATATGACCCCATTCCAGCCTACAGCTGATTGGCCAGAGGTTGGCACCTGACTGACTCCATCCATGGTTGTAGCTAACTGTGTCCTGGCTCTGGAGGGCAGATCCTGTGTATCTCTTCCCAAGGGACTTCTCAGTAAATGCTGGTAGCTTATAATTGACCACGGTGGGATTTATACCATGGAAAATGGCAAATGCTAAAAATCAGGGCTTTCTTTTTCCTTGAAGAGCCAGTTGCTATTTACTGGCACACCACTGGATGAAACTGCTTTAGATCTCCAGTCCATGAATCAGGAACAAATTAGTTAGGAAAAGGTGGGCACCTGAACTGGAAGACCCTATAGCTAGGGGTTGGGGTAGCTGTATGGGTCCAGACACAAACAGAACAAAGAAGGCAGGAGAAAGCAGAAATGGACAGAGGAGATGGAGAGCTAGTGACAACCTCGGTTCCTTACAATATCTTTACCCTCTAGCCATGTTGCTTTCCTGTTTGTTCTGGAAACCCTGAATTTAGGTTCTAATGGGGGAAGTGACTTAACCTCTTCATATCTGATTTCCTCTTATGTAAATGGGATGAATAATGGTGAACAATTTATAGTGTGGATGTGAGGATGAAGTGAATCAATACATGTTTAATGCTTAAAGCTGTGCCCGGTACACGTAAGTACCCCCAAAATGTAAATGTCATTATTGCTATTATTAGACTTAGCTCCATTGGATCTATGTTCTTTATGATCATTGATTCCTAAGAGACTTAAAGATGTTCTGGTATTTGCGGGGGTGATATCTGAGCTGGCATGAGAGGGTGGGGCACCTGGGACAGATGAAGATTCTGTATTTAGCAGTGACACTTGGGACTGAGAGTTGTATTTTCATCTGCTTGCCTGGGGAATATGTGAGCACCCCTGTCTGTGTGGGCCCCAGGATAGGTGCTGAGGAGGACAGTGGTGAGGGCCACAGCATTAGCTACAGAAGGAGTTTTTTTCTCCCTGTCAAACCTGTCTCCAACCCAAGTCCTTCAATAATCTCTGCTCCCTCCTTAGGCCTCTGGGATCCATAGGAGGGAGCCATTCTCAAGAAGCTGCCAACACCGCTCTACTCTGCCCTGCCTCAAGCCCCTCCCCTTCCTCTGGAAGGTCTTCATCAGCAGCACATGGCTGCCCAGAGCCTGGGATCAGGAAATTCCCAATTTACCATGTTTTCCCCTGTAAAACTCTGTTCTTGGGTGAATTTCTTGCACTCCATGAATTTGCTAGGAAAGGGCAGGCAGACAGAGGAAAAAGACAATATCTGTCCTCTGAAATATCACCAAAACCCCTAAGAGGGCTATATGTGAGGAAACTGAGACTCGGCCCAGGTAAGGAACTTGTCTACATCACACACACAGAAGAGGAATGGGTTCACATCCAGCTCTCACTGGCTTGTGGTCAGCTCTCCCACCGTCCAAGGGTGTTAAGGTTGGTGAAGTCTGCAGCAGAAGGTGGAGGATAAACATTGCCCCACCAGGGGAAGGCACATGACAACTTAGTCAGCCAACAATGAATGACCTTTTCTTGGGCACACCTGGCTTGCCCTTTCTCTCATCCAGAGTCCACAGGGACTGAGTTTTGCTCATCTAGTTTCGGTAGAAGGAACTGGGAAACTTTGAACTGCTTTTGAAAGGAGAGATTCCTCTTTTATCATCAATACTTGAACTTGTAAAAATTTTCAGCGTCTAAAGATCTTCAGGGCCAGGTAAATAGCTGGAATTGCTGTCCTACCTGCAAAGGCGGCGGAGGCTGCTAAAAATTCAAGGTCAGTGAGAATGCTCCATAGAAAATACTGGAGACCCACAGTGAAGTCCTACTCCCTCAGGACCTCAGTTTCCCCAACTGTCTGACAAAATCTCCAGGGCTTCCAGTGGCCACTTTCTTTGGAAAGGTCTGATGACTTCCAGCCCCCACTCAGAGCCTGTGTTTGTTCCCGTAGTTTGAAGAGTCAAGTGCAGGTGTGGATGAGGAAAATTACCTCCCAGATTCTGGCCAAACAGCCTTACCAGCCCAAGGTCAGGAATGTAATTTTTTATTTTGGGTGGTGCTGGGGACTGAACTCAGGGCCTCACACATGCTAGGCAAGTGCTTTTACCTCTGAGTCACATCCTCAGCCCACGAATGTCATTTTGTGTGTGTGTGTGTGTGAGAGAGAGACAGAGAGAGAGAGAGAGAGATTTGATTATAGTAGAAAAGGCCCATGTGGACAAATTTGGAAAATTTTATCTATTATAATAATACTCACATATGTACAAGCCATACTTATGGGCAGGACAGGTAAAAAGGGAGAGCCAATGACCAGAATGCCTCCTGTGTTTGTCCCTCTATGGCTCATTCTCAAAGTCAACTGTACTGAGAGTGGAGTGGAGTCAGACAAGAGTCCTGGCTCTCCCAAATGCTGATGCCACTACACAGATCCTCAGCCTCTGGCGATTATGTTCCCTCTTTGTGTGTCAATCTTGTTTAAAAGCGAGTGGGGTAGGGGGTGAGGAGATGAGGTAGGGATAGAACATCACTTGAGGAGGCATCAGCTGAATTCTGGACGGTCACAGAGGTGTTTCGGTTGTGTTTCAGCCCACATTAAAAGTGAGGGAAGGGCGCACAGGAGCGGAGCTGGTTCTTTTCATTCAATCTTTCTCTGTCCTCCAAAGTATCATGTGGCTTCCAGAAAGAAGCCAACTGAAGGAAGGGTCTCTCCCTCCTGTAACTCCTAGTCCACGTCATCCGGTGTCAGTGCCGGTGGCTGGCGCTAGTCGCGCAGGATCGCGTACTCCTTGGGCGCAGAGAGCAGACGCGGCCGGCGAATCTCGGGGCGTGGTCCGATTTCCGGGCTCCAACAGAACTCGGGCGATAGCACCTTGGCGGGCTTGTGCAGCCAGAAGTATTTGTTGAGGTGGCTCTCATCGTGCCAGAGCGCCTCGAGGCCGCGCTCGCGGTCCTGCTGCTGGGCGCGCGCGCAGTGAGCCGTCAACCCGCGCAGCGCGGCCACGCTACCCCCGAACAAGGCGGCGTGGTAGTAGAAGTCGCCCTCGCCCTGGGCCACTGCGGCGGCTGAGCGCGAGTCGCGCTCGAAGGGCAGCAGCCACCGCGGCCAGCGGTAGTGCCAGGCGTGCAACTGCGCTACTGACTCTGCCAGCGCCTCGGGCCCAAAGGCGCTGCTGAAGTGCTGGTCCACGTCCATGCAGAACACGAAGTCCGCCTCGCGCCCTAGACGCCCTCCTAGTGCCTCGTGCAGCGTGCGCATGCGTGCCATGGACACGTCCTGCCAGCGCCGCTCGCGCACCACGTACTGCACTCTCAGCTGACGGCCGGGTCCCAGCGCCAAGCGAGGCACAGCAGCGGGCCTCTCGGTGAACACGTAGTACACCACGCGCTGGCCCACCATGAAGTGCTCCTCCGCGGACTCCAGAAAGCGCGCCAGGTACTTCTCCAGATACCTGCAAAAAGTCAGCCTGGCTGTCTGCCCTTCCGCACTCGCCACCCCTGCCTGCATTCGTGCTTCCCAGTCTTGCCCACACCGGCTCCCCAACTCCAGATCCCCCAACCTTGGAGAGGCGGGTTAAAGATGGTGCAAGTTGTCTGCACCATCTTCTCTGAATATACTTGCCTCTGACCGCCCGGGTCCATAGGGTACCAGGGAAGCTATGCTGTGCTGGCCCTTGGAGGACTGACAGTGATCGCCTCTTTAGTGCTCTAGGCCTTCCATCAAGAGGTCCCAGAACTTGGTGCTGCCACGAATTGAGGAAACCCAGGCTAGTGACATAGAAAGGCTCCGGCTGGTCATCAGCCCTTGGTCTCCTCATGGAGACCCAGACATTTGAGAGCAGTGAGGAGCCCTTCCGGCTGAGCCCTCTGAATTCCTGGCACACTAGATCATGCTGTAAGAATAATACATTGTTTTAAGTCATTGAGTTTGTAGAGTGCTTGAAATACTGGAACCGTTGTTATTACCAGCTCTTAGGATACTAGAGTTTTAAAATGAAAGTAATAATGCCTGATATTTTGAACATCTATCACTGTAGCAGACATTTTGAAGTCAATGTGCATTATCTCATTTAAAGAGCTCTAATAAGTCCTAGCTACTTGGGAGGCTGAGGCAGAAGGATTGGAAATTTGAGGCCAGCTTCAGCAACTTGGTGAGACCCTTCTCAAAGTAAAATAAAAAGGGATGGGGGATGTTGCCCAATGGCAGAGTGTCCCTTGGGTTCAATCTACTGTACTATAAACAAAGCTCTAACAACTTAGAAAAGTATACTTGATTGGTAAGTGGTGGTAAGTAGTACAGCCAGGATTTGAATCCAACTTGGCATTGAAGCTTGTATCTTTTCTTGCACTTGCTCTATTCTTGGTGGGACTGTGGGAAGAGGAATCAAGGATCTTGGAAACTTCAACATTCCAGGGTGCTAGACTTACAGGGTCTTGGAACTCCAGACCTCAGGATCCTGGAATTTCTGTTCCTTGAGACTCCATACCTGGAGGCCTGTCCATTGCCTGGCCTATCAGTTCTTTGATTGACCTCCTCTCCTGTGATTCTGTCCTCTATCCACATTTACTTATGCACTCCTGTGGCCACTCCCTCAGGTTGGACATCATTAGCATCCCATCTTCAAAACCACAGCCTCACCCACGCCACTGTGTGGGTTCCTCATTCTTCTAGGTCACTTGCTCTGATTTACACCCCTCACAGTCCTGCCTCACTGAGTCCTCTAATCTGGTGGTCTTCCCACTTCTCAGTCTCTGTCACCTCCTTCCTCTGTGTACCTTCTTTACACGCTCAGATTCACTCCCTTGCAAGCCCCCTAGCTCTCCAGCCCCTCTCCCTCCATCTGGCTTTCCTGGCGAGACCCGCCATACTGTGCGCTATGGCTGAGCTGCTGCCTCCAGCAGCCAGTTCTGTCTCTTTGTTTATCCAGTTGCTCTTTCCCTCTTCTCCCCTCTCACCTGGAAGACTCCACCATTTCCTCACCAGTAACATGCCACTTCCTGGTGGACAGCCCTAGCCCCTAAGCAGGTTCCTTCTGGCACATAGTTCTGAGCCCCTGGCTGGGTGGGCTCCATGATATTGGTGTCCAGGGAAGAGGGGAAGGGAGAGGATATTCCTGCATTCACCCTGGGAGTCTGGGACAAGGGTGCAGCCTCCATCTGCACTTTGGGATCCAAGGCCCAGGGCCACGGGGCCACATCCTTCCCACTCCCTGCTGGACAGTGGCGCTCCCCTCCCCAGGCTTACCTGCCGACAGCAAAGACAGTCAGCCCAATGGTGAGGTTCTGCCGTCTGGCCTCTTGCTGGGCTATATCTGGGTCGAAGGTACCATCCCAAATAATGGGGGCCCCCCAGGAAGTACAGGTTGGGACTTCAGGCCGGGCCCTGGCCAGGAAAAGGATGGAGAGAGCTCTAGTCACCCACTCATGGATGCATGATTACTGCCACCTCCCCTAGGGACCTAAGATGCATCAGACCAGTCCCTGCCCCTAGGTCGGAACCACCCCTAGACAGTTAAAGGAGAAGTATGACCCAGTGGGGCCCCTGGGGTTGGGAGTGCAGTGCCTGGATCTGTTGGAATAGCACTTGAAAGGAGGACAGGGACCTGGGACAGATGTCTAGGTCTGTGGGCATTCTTAGAGTGGGGGGGAGGGGGGAGGGTAACTCCTTACCAGGGACGCAGGACACCTGTGAAGTTGTCTTTCATCAGGAGCATGGTGGCTGAAGGGCAGACACCCATGGGGATGAAGACTTCCAGATGCCTAAGGGGTGGGGGCAGCAGGAAGTGGCATGTCACTTGCTCAGGAGGGAGGGCTCATAAGGACACTTGCCCAGGCCAAGCTAGCCACCACCCTCCATCTCTCAATAAGGCACTTGGAAAGAGCCACTTTAAATGTGACCCTGGTGGTGGTCCCATCTCAGGTGCTGGGGAAGAGATTTGTACCTGAGTATAGGGAGCCAGTTCAGAAGGAGCAACCCTAAGAGGCCAAGTGCAAGCAGGATCAGTCGCCAGACGGTTCTCTTCCTGGGCCTGGAAGGCAGGGGGATCAGCAGCCCATTTATACACACACACACACACACGCATGCACATGCAAGGTAGAAATCATTTTTGTGATTTCAGTGCTTCATTTTATTTTATTTTGAGTAAGAATAACTGTTTACATGGTACAGACATTCAAAAGGATGAAAGATAGATAACACTGAAAAGTTCCTTCCTGTTCCTCCGCTTGGAAACAGCTAGAGTGACCAGTTTCATGTCTTTCCAGCAGTGGTCTGTGCATACACAGGGACGGGTGAATGTGGTGGCAAGTACTCTCACTTCCTTTCTTTTAGTTCCCCAGAAACGGTAGCACAGTGGACATGCTGTCCTGCACCTTTTCTTCCTCACTGACCAGTATGCCTGAGTTATCATCTCAGCACTTAGAGAACTCCCTCACCCTTTTGTCCAGCTGCCTGATGTGCCACAGAGTGGACATAGCCCCGGCTGCCTAACCAGGGCTCCTCTGATCCTTTCCTCTGGACAACAATGGTGCAGGTCATGACTTTGGGCAGGCACGGAGGACAGGAGCATCAAGGCTTGGGGGGCTTAGCCTGGGGAGGGATGAGGATGACCTTGGACAAGAGAATAGGCCAGAGGAGGCTACCGGTTAACTTATAGGTTGGTGGCTGGGAGTGAAGAGCTATCTGGGACCTAGAGATGAGGTCAGGCTGGCTGTGGTCAGAGACCATGTGCCTGTGGCAGCCCCAAGCCAGGCTGGGGGAAGAGTTCCTTCCGCAGGCCTTAGTGGCCTAATTGCTGGCTTAGGGGAGGTACTTTTGGAATTTGTCTATGGTAAATCCAGGAAGGGTCTCAAATGTTGAGAATCTTCTGGAACCACATAGTAAGGAGCAGACACGGGGGCCAGACCCTCTGGTCTGAAGCCCAGCTCCACCACCTCTAAACTCTCTGAGCTCAGGCAAGGCCTGACACTCTGCCCATCATTCTTATCTGTAAGATGGGGTAGTAAGCCCGTAGAGGGCTGCCGTGGACTCTGAGATAACATGAGCTGAGTGATTAGAACGAGGGGCTTACACACCGTAATCGCTCCCTCCACTGTTGATGACGACTCTTCTTAACAGATCCTCATCATGCCCTGGGCAGCCTCTAGCTCTGCCCCCTGCCCTATGAATTCTTCCAAACCTCAGCTCCCCTGCTCTCTTTCAAGAAGGCTGCCTGCCTCAGACCCTCTGCCCCTGCCTTTTCTGCTATCCTACTTAAGGGATGCTTGAGAGACGAACCCAGGAGAGGCTCTGAAAACCTTGGAGTGTATGTGTGTGTCCACCTGGACACCCTCTCAGCACACAGCACCTCCTTCTATTCATCTAGTCAACCTGAAACCTGCGGCCCCCAACCACTCCCTCTGCTGCATCCACTGTCTGCTGTCAGCCCCTGGGTTGGGTTGACTTGTCCTTCTTGATCTCGCCCCTTCCCGTCCCTCCACCCACTGCAACCTCCATCATGATCCTAGCCTGATCATCTGTCACCAAGACCATTGCAGTAGTTCCCTCGCTGCTCCCTGTCACTCCCTGCACAGCCCCCAGAGCCATCTTGTAAAACATTAACCTCCTTTAATAGTGTCTGTGTCACACAAATAGGTAAATCCTCGAAGAGATGCCTTCAGTAGGCAAACATATGGAAAAATGTTCACCCCCACTAGTAATCAAAGACATACAAATCAGAGCAAGGTGGTCGGTTTTGCCTATAAAATGAACACTTTAAAGAACAGACATAATGAAAACAGCGCAGCTTCCAGCACACAGTGAGGCAGGCTCTCTTATGCTTGCTGGTGGCTGTGTGGATGGTTGGGCCTTGTGGAAAGTTTCCTGGCTGTGGGTTGAACTCTTCGAATGCTCATTCCCTTTGATTCAGTAACCCCAGTCGCTGGGAATCTGTTCAAAGGAGGTAGCCTTCAGTGTGGGGAACAAAGTGTGCACATGGAGACAGTCGTCAGATTCTGTCTAGACATGCTTTCTACACGTCCAGATTGGGCACAGGCGCAACCTTAGGCACTCAGAGGTGTGGAGCCAACAAGGGGTGGATGCAGTGTGGGGTGGGGACTGAGAGGACAAGTGATGTGGCAGACTGAAAGCATGAAGGAACCAGTGCTCAGTGAATGTTGAGGAGAGCGTGCATGAGGTGTGGAGGATGAGCAGAAGGGTGGTTTCGAGCCCTGACAGAAAGTGAGGAAGTCGGGAGGCTTCCTGGAGGGGGTGACCTATCAGCTAGGACCTGAAAAATTAGAAATTATTCAAGCAAAGGAGGAAGTGAAGGGGGAAGGGCAATCATGAGCAGGAAACACAGTGAGGAGATGGAATAGAGCTGGGTGGGGCCTTCTGCCAGGCCGCCAGGGCCCACACTGCAGGCTCAGGGCCTTGGGCTTCATCTTGAGGGCCATGGGGAGCCTGGGAAGGTATTTCCTCCAGGGAGTGCCACAGCCAGAGTTTTATTTGGAAAATAAAAAATGTGTACCTAGTCAGAACGGTGGAGCCCAGACAGGGTGTGCTGGGAGAGAGGGAGGGGCTGGAGGGAGGCAAGAAAATGAGGTGGAGGTGAGGACATCTGTGCCCGCTGTGGGAGCTCCAGGGAGCACAGCAGGTGTGGGGGGCTGGGTGGGGGAAAGTAGGTGGTGAAGGGCTGTCAGGCAGGCGGAATGAGCAGCACTCAGCCACCAGTTGGAGGGACAGGGCTGTCTGCTTTTCTGGTTGTGGTAGAAGCCCAGAAGGCAGGCAGGCTCGGGAGAGAGTTCTGGGGGCTCTCCAAGAGGGCAGGGGTGCCATGGGAGAGAGCATGGAGGGAGAGGAGGCCAGGCCCAAGCTTGGAGGAAGACTGAGCGGGGAGTGGAAGGTGCTGTGTGGGTGACTTCTCAGAAGCTGAGCTGTAAGCAGGAAGGACACAGGATGGAAATTGGAAGGGGCCAGGGCTGGGGTCAAGGGAGATGAGTGTTTATTTGACAAGAGGGAGACCATCTTGCTGACTGCTGCCTAGAAAACATCCACAGAGAGGCGTCTGAAGTCATAGGGACACTCACCATCTGAGCTGCTCAGGTACCACTCAGGCGAACCTGAGAAAGGCCCCAGCATCTGGCCAGAGTGACTGGCTAAACACATTGTCATGGAGACCCTGCAGTCACACAGGAAAATGCGTACCCTGGAGCATGAAAGGAAAAAAAGCAGGATCTGAAAGTGATGGCAATTTTGCAAGAATGAAAGAGTCTGAGTAAAGGAGAAAACTGTTTTTATATTGCTTTTTTTTTTCTTTTTTTTTTTTTTTCGGTACTGGGGATTGAACCTAGGGGCACTTAACCACTGAGCCACATCCCCAGCCCTTTCTATATTTTATTTAGAGACAGAGTCTTGCTAAGTTGCCTAGGGCCTTGGTAAGTTGCTGAGGTAGTTTTAAACTTATGATCCTCCTGCCTCAGTCTCCTGAGCTGCTGGGATTACAGGCCTGCACCACTATGCCCAACTATATTGCTTTTATAAAGAAGAAAAATACAGGGTTAGCAATTTACAAGGAAAAAAGTTATTGTATTGCCTCCTTCCGACTTCAGGACAAAGTCTACGTCTCTCAGTGCTGCCTAAGGAGCCTTCAAAATCTGAGCCCTCCATCACTGCATTTCATTGCTCCCCTTCCTCTCTTCCTGCCTCTAGACATGAACACTCCACAGTGGACAGTCCAGGGATGTTCTTGGGGCATTGTTTGTAAAAGCAAATGGATATCAATAGCCTCAGTGTTCCCCAGTAGGAAACTGGATGAAAGAATCATGCATATTACTATTTAATGGAAGTTAACATGACCCCTAAAAAGAATGAGGAGATAATAAGAGACCCTAATGTGTTAAGTGGAGAAGGAGTAATGGGACTCCGTGTGGAGGCAGATCTCACTTCTGTGAGGAGAGGCTCCCAGGCCGTGTGTTCATGAACTCACACATGTATATCCACGTTCTATAAATGTGTAGCGAGAGTCTAGACAGAACAGCATGGGCCATCGATATAAAATGTGAGCCACATAGATGATTTAAAATTTCAAGGTAGCCACATTAAAAAAGTGAAAAGAAACAGGTGAAATTAATTTAAATAGTATTTTTATTGAACAGAACATATCCCAAACATCTTTTCAACATGTACTTGATATAAAAATTATTGAGCTATTTTCAGACTTGTTTTGTGCTGTGTCTAAACACTCAACCTAGCGTGTATGTTAGGCTTACAGCACACATGTGGCTTGTGGCAGTTCTATGTTGGACAGTGTGGATTTAGAGGAGAGGTACCAGCTGTTGGTGGTGGACTCAGTGGAGGGTGGAAGGGGCGCCACACCCCCACCTCCTCCCTGACTGTGTGCAGTGAGCATCGCTCCTTCTGCCATGTACCAGCTAGTTGCCTCCCATCAGGCTCTGCATGCCTGGAGCCCCTGGTGGGGCTGATCTGGGCATCATGGGTGCAGTGACCTGCGGGCATTGGTGCTGTCTGAGCTCTCTATTTGAGGGTCTCACAGCATCTCAAATACATATGGCCAAAAAGGAACCCTCGATTTTCCTTAGAAACCTGCACCCACTCCATCTTCTCCATCCTGGCAAGTGACGCCATGATCATTCCTCTGCCCTATTGCACACATGCCTTGGAGTCTCTCCCGAGGCCTCTTTTTTCTCATTCTCCACATCTAATTCTCCAGCAAGCCCGTGCCCCCCCAAAAACACACTCAGTCTGTCACTGGCCTTCCCCCGCTTCTCACTGCACTCCAGGCCATTGTGCCCCGCACCTGGACGACTCCCCCTGGCCACCTCACCAACCTCCCTATTTCTACGACTGCCTCCTACAATCCATTCTCCAGAATGATCTTTCAAAATGTTAGTGGATCCCACCCCTCCCCTTGCCAAGGTCTTCTGATGATATCTCACTGCTCTTAGAAAAAAATCCACACCAGGACCGCCTCTCTCCCCCAGCTCTGTGTGGATCTCCCCCATTCCTGCACTTGCCGCCCAGCCACGCAACACATCTTTGCTGGGTTCCCACTGCCTGTTCCTCGGGACTCAGTTACAACTCTTTGCACTTCCTCCTGCACCCATCTCGATCCTTCACCTTCCGAGTGAAGTTGACTTCGTGTCCAGTCCCATCTTTGTTCAGACCGCTTTCCCATCCTCTGCCAGTCAGGTTGCTGGCTTCCTCCTTAACACCTCCCATTCCCCTCCCCAGGAGGTTCCTCTGGCCCTTGCCAACCTGTGAGGGCACAGTCTTCCCTGTGGGGCTGAGTGCCCCTGTTTCATCAGCCTTGTTACTCTGCCCCAAAGCCTGGAACCTGCCTCATACTTGGTGTTATTAAATAATGAATAATTTGTTCAGTAAATGGCTGGGGTGCTTTCTCTTCATCCTTTCCCAAACTGACTATTACTCATTTGCTTTAAACTCCATTTTTCCCAGAATTAAGTCTGCACTCATTAATAATCCCAGACACTGCTAAGACATGTACAGAATTAAGTCTGTACTCTACTATCTTGTTGAAGTCTGACCACAGTCCCTTGCAGAGGGCTCTAGGATTATTTCCACCTTGGGAGTGAGGAGATCAAAGCTCAGAAAAAGTTAAATCACTTCCTCAGCAACACAAGCTGGCAGGAATGAGTCTTGAGTTTAGGTCTGACTTCTGAGCAAGGCCTTTAATGGCATTTGGGCTCCTTGGGACTGGACCCCTGTGCAACCTGAGCACCTCTCACAGGGTGCCTGGCTCCTCCCAAGTGACCTGTGGCCAGTGGCCAGTGGCTAGTGTCTCTCCTGCAAGAAGCCTCCCCTTCCACACTTTGTCTTTTGCCCCCTCTGGACTCCTGGAAGACTGGCCGCAGCTGTGCTTTTCCGGTTTCCGGAAGCCTGAGTCCGTGGTTCTGGCAGCCGGCAAGTTTGGCCGGGCTGCAGGGGTAGGAAATGGCAGGAGCTGGCCACTCACTCTCTGCCTTATCTGCTTTCTTGACCCTTTTAACCAGCCCCCAGCCCCGCCCAACCAGGGTGGGACAAGCCAAAGTTTATCTTGGGCACTGGTCTGTCAGGGTAGCCAGGCAGAGCTGGTCCTAAGTGGACCAGGCAAGCTTAAATGGTCAGCTCAGGGTGAGTGCTGGTGCCCAAGCCTGGGGTGGGGACCCACCAGCTCCACCCACTATTCCTGTGCCCCAGTCTGGAGCCCTTACCCTATAGGTACCTGCCTGACCCACTCCTCCACATTCCTTGGTCAAATAGCCTCAAAAGGACCTGTCTGGCCCTGTTCCACCAGCAGAAGGTGGTCCCTCAAGCCCCGCCCATGCCCTGCTCTCCCTCCTCCCTCTCAGGATCAGCCATTAGTCCTCCAGGAAGAATAAGTTCCTAGTCCTGGACAGTGAGGCCCACCGGGGGACTAAGAACCTCTCTGGCCTTTGCTCTCTACCTCACCAAGAGAAGAGGAGGCACCCAGGTCTTCTCCAGGTACACAGGTCTCATACCCCACAGTCCATGCATGGCTGTGTGAGCCACCTTTTCCCAGGGCTTGTGGCTCATATTATTCTCGGCTAGCTAACATTGGTGCCTCTCCTTTGACTGTTCTGACCACCAGACTGCACCTCTCACAGGTTGGCTGTCCCACTGCCCCACTCCCTGGCAGTTCCCCACTCACCTCAGTCCTTCCTTAAGAGCCATAGAAAGGAGCCAGTGGGGCAGCCACCACGAACTTTCTCAGCTCAGAGCTGGTGAAGAAATGACCTCTTTCCCGTGGTAGGGACAAACCAGCTCCTTCCTGCCCCTAGCCTCAGGAGCCACACCCACAGAAGCAATCAGAGATGGACTGCCCAAGAGGGACCTGCTTGGGGTGGGGCTTAATGAAGGAACCTGGTTCCTGGGTAGGGTGGGGGGTGGTAACCCCCCAGGGGCCAATCACCTGCTAGAGGGTGGATCTGAGTATGGCCAGCTCTGGTTGGCCAGGGACTTGGAGCTATTTGTACAGACTTCTTTTCCCTCCCCAGGGGTCCTAAGCCCTCTTCAGAGTCTTGTTCCTGGGACTGGCAGGGAACTGGGTGGGAAAGGGCTAAGGTGTTCCCATGGGGGAGAGCCCTGTTTCAGAGCCCCAGCTAGAGCTGAGGGTACTGGGCACTGTGACCTTGAGCAATCCACTTCTCCTCAAGAAAGTGGGATACACATGCCCAACACTCAGGCCAGTGTGAGATAAGATCAGGGCTGTGGAACAGTTCTGTGAAGCTCATACTACCTGTTTTCAAAAGTGCAAGTTGTGTTCCATCAGAGGTACAGGAAGTTAGTTTAGTGGATTGTGATCAAGATTTTAAAACGTTGAAATAAGATTGAAAAAACAGCATCAGAATGTACAGTATGCATCTGACAGGTGGGTGTTGTTGCATGAAATTTTGGTTCTATTTTAAGTGTGTAGGCACCATTGGGAAATATTTTTTAAAACTAAAGGTCAAGATGGAAAGTTAACCAATTTCTGTGTAAAGTATAAGCAACAGGAGCAAATGTATTTTTAAGGAAGCACCCTTTAAACTTGCAATAGATTCCCACTCTAAGAGTGGGACCAATAAAAATTAAACAAAGGAATCAATGTATATACACACATATCCCCCTTATTTACTCACTGAGAATGTTTTTAGAATAAAATATTAATTCTGAGCCTAAAAAACAAAACTCCAACCTTACAATAGTGAAGAAAACACAAATGTTTAGCTGTGAAAGACCATGCTGCAGTCACCATATTCTCTTAAAGTAGTGGTTTTCATTCCTTCTCTTCAGCACACACATACCAGCAAACTGGGGTGGGGCCTGGTTTTCATTTTTCCCAGGAAAAAAGTCAAGGTCCAGAAGCAGAGAGACCTGCCCAGAGGGCTGCTGGCTGCAGTGCACCTGTGCACACGCCCTGTGTGCCTTAGCAGAGGGAAGAGGTGCAGGCAGCTTCCTGCTGCGGTCCCAAGACTCTCCACTCAGGCAACTACCCAAGCCTCCCTGAACCCTCTGGCTTCCCAGTGTTCCCTGCCTCTGGGACACCAAGCTTTCCAGGCCCTGGTCCTACTGGATACCAACCAGTTTGTTTCTCCTCCTCCTCCAGCAGGTAGTTACATTTTAACAGGCTCTCCAGAGAGGAGTCACCAAGATAGGGAGGGTATTGATTCTTAAAAGTTACTGTGACTAATCCGATTCAATACAGGTGGGGCTGAGCCTCAAACCCACATTCCTAACAGACACTTTAAGGAAAACCCCAATCCTGGGGAAGGAGCAGTGAGGCAGTAGTCTCCTTACTGCCCCATTCGTATCTGAGGACAGACTCCTTTCTAGATGGCCAACCTCAGCCACTGCTGGCCACTTACACCTCACCCAACGTAGCCAGCATGGACCAACTCATCTGCATGTCCAGTCATATTATCTGTGCCCTCCCACACTGCCTGGTCTGGAATATCCTTCCTCCTACTTTAGGCAAGGCTTAGGTGTCACCTCCTCTGCATAATCATAAAATAGGCTTGTAAAGTGCTGAGTGAACCAGAGGCGTCCAAGGGCTCTTCTGGACACAGGGCAGCTCTCTCCAAGGCCATTTGCTGGGGAATGAAGTCTGGGTTCTGGCCCAGGTGTTCCAGATGCTGCTGGCCCACCAAATCTCCCAGGGGGACTCAGAGCTGAAGGGGCTTCTGGACCCTCCAGCTCTAAGGGACACCATGTGAACTGGGGCTAGGAGCAACCTCAGATGATCTGGAGTCCCAGCCAAGCATGAAGGATATACTGTTCAGTTGAGGTGGATGTCTCTCCCTCAACCAGGGTCCATTCCTTTTCCTTATCGGTGAAAAGTAGCCATTTGGCTTCAGACTGATATCCTCAGGGGAGAAAGGCACAGAAGAGGCAGATTTTGCAAATTTATTTTTAAAAAAACAAAAAGGTTAAAAAAAGTCCTTCATTTCCAACCTTGCCTGGGGGTGTGGGTGGGGAATAGAACAAGCTGAGAAAGGTGCCCACCCCTTCCTGTGAAGAGTCCAACTCTTCCCCCAGGAGCCTGCAAGGACAGGGCAAGTCAGAGGCAGGTCCTCACCCTTCCTGCCCTGCCTCCTCCTCAGGTAGCTGTAACTGCTGCTAGGAAGTTTTGTAAGCTAAAAAGTGTGGGAGTGGGAGGTCAAAGGCTGCCTTCTTCACACCAACAGTGACTGGCTGCTCTCTCCCTGCTTAATTCTCTGGGCCCCCACCACTTGGGCTCCCAGGGCGGGCGGGCGGGCAGGCAGGCAGACCCAGAGGCTCAGCTGATGTGCCCAGCCCACCGGCAGTTTCCTTAATGCTGTTTGTGAGGCAGCAGGGCAGTCAGGGGACGTCACAGTGTGGGGAGGGGCTTAGAGACCTCTTGACTCCTCTGGAGGGGGGACTTGCCTCTCCCTAGAGGCTGCCCTTCTTTTCTATTCCCCATCCTCAGGCGGAGTGGAGTCCAGGACAAAGCACTAAGTGGCCATTTGCTACAAAACACCTGGAGATGCCAGAGGGCAGCTGTGGACTGTCAGTCAGTCCAGGCTCCCACAGTCACACAGTCACACACACAGCATTAAGGCGTCTATGCCAGCAGGCACGGCCAACCTGGGCCCAGCTTCTCTCTCTCCACCTGCACCTGGTGTAGGGAAGCCCCCGGCTGCTGCCGAAACAGGCTGAAGGGGAGAAGCTGGCAACGGAAGGTTCACCAGGCCTGGAGAAGGAAGTGGAGGAAGGAAGGCAAGGGCGCTCCAGGCCTCGCTCAGGCCTGCTGGCTGCCCTTGGAAGGAACCCAACTTAGGTTGGGAAGCCCTGACCATAAACCCCCTGGAAAACGGGGGACAGAGAGAGGGGAAGAGAGCGGGGCTAAAGTACTGGGACTTTGGAAGAAGCCAGTGCTATCAATATATACAAGCATAAAGCCCCATCTTCTGTGCCACCTCCCTCTCTGCCCCTCCCACAGAAATGAAAGGCCCCTGAGAGCCATTGAGGAGGGCCCAGACCTCCTCACCAGCCATGCCCCTAGGGAGGCCCCTTTCCTCCAACTAGCCCCGTTTCTGGGGCCCTCAAGGAATGTCTGTCTGGCTCTGCTCAGTTGGGAGGAGGACCCCTGGGCCAGGATCCTGGCTGCCCAGCCAGCCCTAGGAGTCCTTGAGCATGCTGATGCGGGCGTAGATTTTCAGGGCGGGGCCCAGCTTGATGTTCATGGCGCTCATCAGATGGTCCTCCTTGAGCAGCAACAGAGCTTGCCCATCGATTTCCTGGGCTCGGAATTCCTCTGCTATCTCCTGGCAGCCTGAGGGGACACCACCAAAAACAACATCAGTTAAGCGGCCAGTGTCCACGCATGGTAGCCACTGCACTTTAGAGACCGTCTCTCCTTCAACCCTCACAGTCATACCTTGAAGATGGTGTTGCTATCTTGAGGCTTGAGAGAGGCTAAGTGACTGACCCCAGGTAGCCATGATCCAAACATCCCCATTCACGACCTTGCTCATACCTCCCTCTCGAGAAACCAACCTAGATGACCAACAAGATGGTGCACACTGATAGGGTATGATTTCCAAGGCTAGGTCACAAAGGGCACAGCAGCTTTCACCTTGTTCTTTCAGATAGCTAACCTCCCTGTAAGGAGATCCTTCAAAGCAGCCCTCTGGAGAGGCCCATGTGAGAGCGACTGAGGCCACCTGCCAAGAGCCAGCCTCACTTGCCATGTAAGGCAGCCACCGTGGAAGTGGATTCTCCGGCTCAGACCTTCAGGTGACTGCAGTCCTGGTTGACATCTTCACTAAGACCCTGCATAAGCTCCTGAGCCAGGGGCTTGGTAGAGCCATTGCAAATTCCTGACCTTCAGATAGTGATTTTTGTATTACAGCAATAGGCAACTAATATAGATTATGGTATCTGAAATAGGGGTGTGGCCATTAAAAAACTCTAAACATGTAGATGGGGCCTTGGAACAGGCATGGGCAGCAACTGTAATGACTCTGAGGAGGGTCAGTTAATATAGAAGGTGCGCTGAGCTGGTAAGCAAAGGTCCAGTGGCCTCTGAGGCAACTGCTGAGGAGGTTTAAAAAAAGTGAGGAAACTGCTAAGAGAGATTGGAAGAAATGGGAATTTCAATTTCATATTGTTTTTGAAATAGCAGAAACTTTCTTAATGCTGTTTGGTGGTATGATAACATGCTGAGTTTAAAGATCCCAACAAACAGTGTGAATAGTTAAGATGATTTCGGGAAGAATGCCAAAGGCGTTGCCTAGCTTCTTTTTGTTGCTCATAGTAAAAAAGGGAGGAGGAAAGGTTAGGTAAAGAAATAGGTGTTCAATGCCAAGGAGCTGGGGAAGACTTCCTGGCCTCTCCAGATGGCAAACGATGCTGGAATTATAAAATGGTTCTAGCCCAAGTCAAACCCAGGGCACAACCAAGAAATGATTTTCTACCCATGAAATGGAGGGTATGGCAAACCCTTTGTTCAGATTTCAGGAAGATCTAAGGTTATGCCTTAGGGGCTCTCTAAGGAGTCTGGGCAGCCTCACAGAAATGTTCAACACAGGACTCTGTTCACATTTCAACATGGTGAAAGGTTTATCTGGAAGACAATTTTGGGTGTGGTTTTTGACTAATGGAATGTACTACTATAAATATTTTAAGAGAATTATATGGATAACCAAATGCTGAATGTTTTCTCTGATATAAGGAGGCTGATTCATAGTGGGGTAGGGAGCGGGAGCATGGGAGGATTAGAGAAACTCTAGGTAGGGCAGAGGGGTTGGAGGGGATAGGAGGGGGCATGGGGTTATTAATGATGGTGGAACGTGATGATCATTATTATCCAAAGTACAGGTATGAAGACACGAATTGGTGTGAATATACTTTGTATACAACCAGAGATATGAAAAATTGTACTCTATATGTGTAATAAGAATTGTAATGCATTTCACTGTCATATATAAATAAAAAAAGGAATTATATGGGTAGAAATATTGGACTGGAAGGTCAGGTAATATAAAAAAAAAGCCAGTAGGAAGTGGGCTAAAAAACCTGCCACATTAAACAGTCAGAATTCCCTTCACAAAAAAGGAAGGGTGACTCAGAGGGTGGAACTAGAGGTGAGCAAGAATCACTCCCAGGCTGAGTTTTCACTGAGAAAATGCCAACCTGTGCTTTATTGTATTGATACTGGTGTGGATCAGTGGCTCTGGTACGTTCTTTGTTTCCCCTTTTCGATTGGGCACGTATTATTCTGCACCTATTCCATTACATGCTGGGTGTGTGTGTGTGGGGGGGGGACGACAGCCTGTGATTAGTCCTCACTGTCTGCAGACTGCAAAGAACCACACTTCAGGAGCTGGACCCATGGAACCTCATCGATGCTAAGACCTGAGTTAGAAAACAAGACCCTGGACTTCAACTAATGTTGTCTTGGGTTGAGACTCCTGGGGACTCTGGCAGGGGGGCAGGGTATTTTGTATACGAAGGAACTTGAACCATGCTGAGCAAGGGTTAACCCACCTCCAAATGGCTCCCAATAATCCTTACTTACTGCACTCATGTCCCTGTGAGTTCCTCAATGGATAGGGCTTATTGGTATGACCAATAAGATATACAGAAGTGACAGTACGTGACTTCTGAGACTAGATCATCAAGTGCACACTGGCTTCTGCCTTGCTCTCTTGGATTCACTACCTGTGGGGGAAAAACTGTGGCCATGTTGTTATGAGAACAGCAAGCAGCCTCTGGAGAGGCCTGTAAGGAGAACAGGCCTCTTGCCAATAGCCAGCCTCCACTTGTGCATTTGCATGACTGAGGTACCTTGGGAAAGGATCCTATGGCCCCAGCAAAGCCTCCAGATCTTGGCCTTAGCTGACCCCTGCAAACTCATAAGACATCCTGAGACATGCAATCCTCCAGAAGTCTTTACCTAATGTAACTGTGTAACTGTGCTACATTACATTTGGGGAATGTAGCAATAGATGAAAATTCACTGGGTTAAGTGACAGAGCCAGGGTATGAACCAGTTCTGTGATTTGGAAGTCTGTGCTCCCAACTACTATGCCACTAAGTAGTGGATGAATAAGACTGGCTGAGCAGAGGGAGCAGCTCTGGGGTTCCACTGACCATCTGGGAATGACACAAGTCTGCCAGTCTGGGTTCCAGTCCTCATAGCTGTGCACACTCTGCCCCAAAGGCTACGTGTGGTCCCAGCTCTGTCCTGCATTTCCATGTCTTCTTCCTCAGTGCAAGCTGCTCCAGGGGACGGTCTCTCCACCTGGCAAAGGCGCACTTGCCCACTGTTGCTCAGTTTAAATTTTCTTAATTTTAAAGTCCTCCTTGACAGATTTCCTACATTGTCACCTATCTCCCCTCCCAGCCTGCCCCAGGAAGAAAGATGGAGTAAATTTCATTATCATCTCTGCATTTTATGCAGACCACCTACCACACCTGTAGGTATTTAAAATTAGAGCTGAGGAATATTATTTATAAGATGTGTTCTATGCTAAAAAATAAGCTTACATGCAGGTGCTCACGTCACTCATTTCTGCACCCCAGGTCCTAGACCCGAGCCATTAAATGAACTACCTAATCCTTCCTGATGGAGTGAGGTGAGGTCTCCCGCTCCCTTTCATTCCTTGCTATTCCAGGCAAGGGCCTTACCTGGCAGAGAGCGGATGAATTCGTAGACATCTTCTACATTCCATTTGGTGGGCTCACTTGGAAGGAAGTGGTGTCCCATGCCCACCAGGTCCCGCATGTGCATGTCCGGGAGCTCCAGGTCTCGCTGGCCTTGTCTCCGGCGGGAGGTGGATGAGCTGGCCGAGATGGGTGACAAGGGTTCCTCATAGCTGGAGTTATCTGAGCAGCGGCTGGAGTCTTCCTGGCTGTGTGTCAGCTGCAGTGCAGCAGTAACTGAAAGGGGTACAGTGCCTGTTGGCTGGGAGCAGAGAGAACAGCTTCTTCAGGACAGCGAACAACCATCTCGAGCAGCAATGATGGGCGAAGGCAGGTGTTTCTCCCTTTTCAGCCTGGTCCACTACTACCTCAGAGACCCTGGATCACACAGCATTATCTGTGCTGTCCCTCCTCGTACTTTCACCTGGGCCACGCTATATTGCAATAGCCTGATCTTACGTCTACTTTTTCCTTCAGATGTAGCTTTTAAAACCAGGGCTCTATTCATTTTAGGAGGCGGTCTATGCACCACCTGAAATCACTGTACATTTTTGGACCACAGCTTTCATCAAATTCTTAATGAAGTTTAAAATGAAAATAACAAGAAGCAAATACACAACAAATTAAAAAACAAATTAGGCTGTGAATTCTTTTACGGTAAGTATATGTCTTAGGAGTCTCTGTGCCTAACAGAGTTCCTGGCACAGAGCTGGTGCTAAAAAATATTTAATAGATGAATTGCTCAGGGTCCTGGTGGGGACCTTCAAGAGCTCAGTGCTCCAGTGTTCAAGGGGCAGAAAGATACCAGGGATAGGGTGAAGGCCACCGTCTCAACTAGCCCTCCAAGAAAGACGGGCTGTAACCCAACAGCCTATCTCTGCCTAGGATCAGGCAAGGGAGACCCCACCTCCACGGCCCACAAGTCAAGAACAGAGGTGAGCAGGAAGGCGAGGGTCAGGCCACTGGAGAGGGTAAGATGCCTCACGAGTATCCTTGAGTCTAAATGAAGGGATGCGGGCTGGGGATGTGGCTCAAGTGGTAGCGCGCTCGCCTGCCATGCGTGCGGCCTGGGTTCGATCCTCAGCACCACGTACAAACAATGATGTTGTGTCTGCCAATAACTAAAAAATAAATATTAAAAAATTCTCTCTGTCTCTCTAAAAAAAAAAAAAAAAATGAAGGGATGCAGGGAAGGCCTGACCTGACTGGCCTGAGAGAAATGAGAAAGCACAGAGCAAGCTGAAGCCACTGCAGGGACGGCGGGCGTAAGGGCCATGCCAGCAGGGAAACTGTCGGTCACCTGCGGAATGGAGCCTTGGGCTCTGCCTGCCTCTCACCTGCTTCTTGGTATCCTTGGTAAGTGTTGGCAGACTGGCCTTGCTGGCCCGGCGGCGGTTGTGGGTGGTGGACCCTGTCTTCTGCAGCTTGCTCCGGTCTGAGTGGAAAAGTCCCACTCGCTTGGTGCATCCCACATTATACCTGTCCAAGATGGAGGAACAGGGAAGTCAGGGAAGTCAGAGCAGTCGTAGGGCTCATGGGCACCAGACAGAACAAGGCAGCTGTCGGAAGCCACCCATGAAATGTGCATGGACTAGATCGGCATGGTAACCATTGAATAGGAAAATCTGGTATCTGGGAACTAACTCCCAGCAGCACACTTCTGCTGGTGAGACTGCCCAGGTACATGCGAGCTTCTATTCAGCTCTGGAGATGGGGTGACCTGCTGCAGCCACATAGCCACACAGCCTCCCAGAGATGGGTGTGGCTTGTCAAGATGCCATGAAGCAAGACTCCACCTGCTGAAACCTTCTCTGCCTTTGATGTATCCCCTCTGCTCCAGCTCCTACCAGGACTAGAAGAATCTATCAGGCACTCCCTTAAAACTATTTTTTGACTCTGTCTCTTATTTCTTCCCTAATTACTTCAGACTATTTTTCTCAGGTGGCTTATCCCCTTCTGAGCAGGGAGAATTACCCTGGCAATATGCTGGCTGCCTCGAGATAGGCAGCCAGGCTGTTTGGCAACCTGTGAGTCCTTTAGTTGGTTCAAATCCTGACTCCACCACTTGCTGCTGGGTGTATGGCACCGAGCAATCATTTAAGCTCCGAGCCTTACTGTGAGTTGGGATAACACCACTCACCTTCTAAAACTGGTCTCATGGATGACATGAAGTAATATTGGTGACATGTTTAATTAACATAACAACTTGGGACATGGCTGACACAATTCTATTTAATCCTACTTGTGCCAGGAAGCTGCTATGCATTGTTCTGTTGGACAGTGGTGTGAAAAGTTTGACAAAGGGGCCCTGGCCACCGCCAGCATAGCCTAAGCAAGACGAGGGCTGAGGACAGTAGACTCTAGCTTAATTTGTAGGGCACCTTTGCCTGGGACCTACATATTTCTTCTTTCTGGGGGGCTCCAGGCTTCAAGATCAGCTGCCTCTTTCACCTTGGAACAAATATCACCTAAGACTTTAGAGTCAGACAAGTCTAAAGCTTCATGCCTATGACTTACTAGCTGTGTCACTGTAAGCACAACTGTTCTTTGGGCCTTACAAATAGGCCTATACAAAAAGGACAACAGTAAGTATAACGAGGACAACAGTAATAGCTACCTTGCAGAGTTATTTTGAAGATAAGACAATGCATATTCTCAACTAGCACAGTACGTAGCACATGGCAGGTTCTCAATACATGACAATGGTTTTTGTTATGATCACCAGTCTTCTAAGCTGGGTGAAAACTTGCCACAGGAACACTGTAACTAGTGTGATGGTTCCAGGCACAGCTTCAGGTGGAGAGCTTACACTAAGAAGGTAGTAGCTGCCAATGGCAGGCAAAGAAAGGGTGCCAGTGGGACCCCAAAGCCAGGAAAGCTAAAGCACTGCTTCCTGTCCTCAGACTCTGCTGTGTTCTGATCCACTCCTGGGGGTCTGGTTTCTCAGGCTTGGTGCATTAGGAATGCAACAGTGCATCCAGGCAGGTCAAGGAAATAGGATGCTGGATAAGCCACACACCTATGGCCTCCTGGGGTGGATAATGGGCGCTGGCATAAAAACAAGATTCCAAAGTGCAGTCCTGAAGATAGGGAAGGAATCTGGCATGGCAGTGGGGCTGAGGTCACTCACCTCTTTGCACAAGCCATGGAACAAAAACGCTTGGATCGCTTGAACTTATAGGCAAAGTCCACCCGGCCACAGAGCTCACACTTGAGTTTGAGGGGAGTACCCTCCTCTTTGGATTCTGAAAAGTACAGAAATGGGTATAAATATGGACAAGAAGGAATTCCCACAGGCCAGTGGAAGCCACACTCCAGGGCCTCCCTACTCTATCCTGTCTCTTTTTTATGTTCCCATGGGTATCATATACAGTGGCAGTCTAGCTTGGACAATGCCAGTGCTTTTGCCACTGTTTTTGGAAGTGCTGTATCTCCCCACTGGGAAGTTCTCAAGGTGTCTGGTGTCCTTTGTAAACTTAACATTTTTTTCTGCCAATTGCTACAAGTCTGGGGCACATCTTGGGTGGGGCAGCATCATAAACCTTCTTCACAATCATGGAAGGAAGCAGGAGGTTCAGAGGAAATACTCTGGATACTGTCACGACTGTTCCTCTGGAATTATCCCACTTGACCTTGTCCCATGGAGCTGGCTTCCTGGGTCAGAGAACCCCAGAGCCCACATTCCCATATTCTGTACAGAGTCCAGGTTGTTAGGGGTTCAGTCTTTTGCCTGGCCACTGCTGTGCCTCAGAGCCAGCGCCAGTCCTGAGTGCAGGCTCCTTAGTAAAAGACAGGAATACCTGACTGGTGCTGCATTCGCCCCAAGAATTTGCCAATGGAAAGTTCAGTTCCTGAAACCCTACGGTTGGCTGGAGTGGGGCTGGAGAAGCAGGGGACAAAAGGCACCTAATTTCTGCCATCCCTATTCTCTAGGGAATAAGAGTGAGGAAGGATTAGAGGAAATGTGTTTATCAGTCCCTGTTCCAAGTTCTTCCATAGACATTCAGAAAGAGAAGAATGTGGGGCCTGCCATTCCTGCCAACCAGATCCAGGTCTGAGGCACCTACCTTGCAGGTAGGGCTCCTCCATCTCAGAGTCAGTGGTGGTGGTATGGTCCTGCTGTGGAAGCTTCTCAGGCAAGAACCCCTGTGCATACTTCTTCTTGAGATTCCCCACCAGCAGGGACGAGCGTCCCACCTACAGGACAGGTGACATGGAGGCCGCGAGGGTTAGGTGGGAGCAGCTCCCTTGCCAGCCTCATCACAATCACATGTATAAAGTATCCAGGCAGATGTCAGTCCTCTGCAAACCTCCCCCACGCCATTATACAAGGGTGCCTGCTCAAGGCCTGATTCTGCTGTCTAGCTCCCAAGGCAGGATGCAGTAGGCACCAAAGTATGAAGATGGTTTTGGTGTAGAACCAATAGATGGCTTGAGAGGTTAGGAGCCTATTTTTCCATGTGTAAGGGCAGCAATGGAGGCAAAGGTCAGGTTTCCCACAGTGCTATGCCAAGTGCCAGGTCCTGAGCTCACAAGCTGCCAGGCAGGGGCAGGGCTGAGTCTGTGTGAGTGCACTTATGAGACTCAGATTTCTTACCATTCTCCACCTCACCAATGCCCTATCCAAGCCAAAAGTACAGGAGGCCAGAGGGAGAGCAGAAAATCAGACCCTGGGCAACAGCACAAGTGCCCCTTTGGTTGCCAGTTTGCAGACTGGCTTATTCGCCCCTTTGGTCCTCCCTTTGTTGTCTGTCCAGGCAGCGTGGTGGCCAGATCAATTGGTGTCCAACTCTGGGGTGATGCTGTCAACCTGTATCCACCCTGTGAGGACAGCTGGTTTCCAGAGTTACTGCAGGGTCAGGGGAGGCCTGGTCCAGTAAGGGGAGGGTTGCAGCAATGTAGAGCCCCCTCATGGCTAGGGTGCTCCAGGTGGGTTTCTTTGCCAATGGCCTTGGACAATCAAACCTCCAGGGTAAAGGGGACAAGGACCTATTTGCCATTTGACATTTTAGGTTATTCACCCATCTAGGTTATCAAGTTCATAGTTTTATGCTAACGAATCAAACCACCCATGAATCCAAAGAATGAGCAAAAAGCAGATGGCATCCCAGAAGACTGGGTCTCTAATAGCCAGATAATCCTTATCAGGAGACAGGCCAGTATGCACCTGGCTCCAGGCTCTGCACACCTACAGAGCAGCACCACCTGCCTAAGTCACACTGCACAGAATCAATTGTAGAGCTCTCCTCTAACAGACCATCTTCATGATTCTTGCTACTTCCCTTCAGTCTCATGCTTCTGTTGGAAACCCCAGATTGTACCCTTTCTGAGGGCCCCTCAATCTCATTCACACCCATCAAGGCTCTGTCCCTACAGAACAAGCCTCAGGTGGCAACCCTGCCCCTCATCCTCATTTCCAAGAACTTAGTACTAATCAAGTTCTTTTGTTCACTAACTGGCCAAAGTTTTGCTGTTGAGGCATTCAAAACTTGATGAGGTCTAATTCCCCAAAGTCCACAGTCTCTCACCAAATGCCTCGAGGTGAACTAACTCCCTTCTAGCCAAAGGGTCTCAAATTACCAGACTGGGACACAGTTGGGTCTGTGTGTGGAAACTTCTAACTGAAGGGTCTTGCCAATTATTCCTGATCACTGAGCCCTTCTGGACTCTGGACAGATATTCAATCCTAGAAAGAAATGGTTCTGACATGCTTTCAGAGGGATGAGGGGGAGGGATTAGCAAGACAGCAAATTGTTCACATTTTCAGAAACCATACACGGAAATGTAAAAATATTCTAATACACATCCAAAATATACTTAAAAAAAAAAAAAAAAAAGAGGGGAAAAGAAGTAGTCCGTACCGGGAAAGGCTCCGCCCCCTCCTGGATCACAAACCCTTCGATAACATGCGTCAGGATTTGGGGTTTCACAATGGCCTGTGGTGGTTTATTCTCACCATTCTGGGGGGCAGTGCCGGCGATGCTGGAGGCAGAGTTTCCGTTCCCTGAGGTCATGCCGGGGCTGCTGAGGTCGGTCAGCGCATGAACAATGCCCTGCCCTGTCTCTGCAGGGAAGAGTGAGAAACAAAGCAGCAGAGATCAGAACAGAGGTCAGGCCTGAAGAGGGACAGCAGGAACTCAAAGTGTGCCACCAAATGCCAACACCAACCCAAGCAGTCCCCTTCCTCAAGGACCTACTTGAAAAGTGGTACTGTTTCAATGGACACACCACCAAGTGTGTAATCGATTCCTCAGCAACTCAGCTAGCAGCATTTCTCTACCACCACCAACTGCCCATTGAGCTGAGCTGTCTTTAACCTGGAACTTCCTTAAAAGGAAAAGGGAGAAGCCATTTCCTTATTGCAACACACCTATAATATTAAGCACAACTCAGTGGTGTATGATATAGATTTTTAAAAATGATTTTAGTACCTTTATATCCACTCCAACATTCAGCTGTGCTAAGAACAGTTTAATCAATCAAGAGTTGTGTCTTTAAGGAGGTAAAGCCTTGGGCAATACTGATTCTGACAAATAAAATAACATTCAATTTGAGGGAGAAAATTAAGTTGTATTCAAGATGACACTTAAAACCAGGAAGAAAAGCTAAACTATGTATAAACTATGTACATATTAGGTTTAGGGTGTATTGGAGTCTGATGATCAAAGGTTACATGAACCTTCTGTGAGGTTCCTTGGAGGGTTTTTTTTTTTTAACTAGAGATTGAACCCAGGGTAACTCTACCACTGAATTACACCCCCAGCCCTTAGATTTTTTTTTATTTTGAGACAAGGTCTCCCTAAATTGTTGAGGGCCTCACTAAGTTTCTCAGGCCTGCCTTGAACTTACTATCCTGCCTCAGTTATCCAGGTCACTAGGATTACAGGTAGTCATTATCATCCCTGGCTAGAGGACTAGATTTTAAGAGCCCTGGGAATAACAAAGCCCTGAGATCCATGTTTTCTCATAAAACTTTCAGGATCAAGCAATTTCTGGCCAAGAAACAAAAGCAAAATGGTCCCATTCCCCAATGGATTTGAGTGAAAACTGATAATAAAATCAGGTACAATTCTAAGAGGAGACATTGGAGGAGAACCAAGCTGGATCTAAGGAATTACACATGAAAAAGTACACATATTTATGCTGTATCAAGGTTATGATCGTCTTGTCATATCAAGCTGAAAATGTCACCATTATCTGGACAGTTGAGAATTTTTAACTGAGAATGTGAGCTTTCTTTAGTTACAAAGGTGCTATAGTACTGGTTTTGGTTGGCTCATTAATAAATATGTGAAACTTTGGGGAAAAAGAATCAAAGCACTGAACCCCAGAAATTGATGCCAAGAGATTTCATGTCAAACCAACACCAGACACTACCACTGGATCTGAATTATCCAGAGACTGGTTTTTGAAGGTTACTGCATTAAGAAATGCATAAATTTTCTTTCTCCACCACAGAAGATGCTACACAGGTCTAGGACCTTCTGTCTTGCTTCTGTGGTCCTGGGCTATCAAGCCCCCTTACCCAGTAAACAACTTTATATCCACTCCAACACTCAACAAATCCCTCCATCTCTCTGTGAATCACCTAGCTTTCCTATAGAAGACCTAAAAGTACTCCAAAAAAGTGTGACAAGGTGCCTTACGCAACACCACTGCAGCAGATCACCTTCCCTCTACTACCAACAGCATCACTCTTGAGTTGCCTCACTGCTTACACAGTAAGGTTTCATGGCCTTATTATTATTATTATCATTTTTAAGCTCTCACCAGCTTCTCTACCCAGGGTCATTCTCTACCACCACCAACTGTCCATTGAGCTGAGCTGCCTTTAACCTGGAACTTCCTAAAAAGGAAAAGGGAGAAGCTATTTCCTTATTGCAACCCACCTATTATATTAAGCACAACTCAGTGGTATATGATATAGATTTAAAAAAATGATTTCAGTACCTTTGTTAGGTAAGTAATTTTTGCACAAAACATTACATGAAGATGTTATTTCATGTTAAGAACCCAAAATATCATGATGAAATGGAAATTATGCAGCATGGGGAAATCGAAATAGACACATTTAGTAAAGGTTTTTTACCTGGGTCACAATAGGCCTTTGCCTCCTTTGGGCTCATTTGCTTACGAGTAGTCCTAAGGCTCAATAAACCAGGATAAATCTTTTTAATGAAAAAAGCACTGTCTATGACACAAGTCATTCCACAATTCATTTATATGATAAACTTCAGAGTTCAGCCGCAGAAGTCATTCAGGAGAAGTGACTGATAAGGGTTTTTTAAAATTAATTTTTTTTTTTTTTTAGAGAGAGAGAGAAGAGAGAGAATTTTAATATTTATTTTTCAGTTTTTGGCGGACACAACATCATTGTTTGTATGTGGTGCTGAGGATCGAACCCGGGCCGCACGCATGCCAGGCGAGCGCGCTACCGCTTGAGCCACATCCCCAGCCCCTAAAATTAATTTTTGTTTGACACACAAGTTAGAAAAATTCCCTTAAGTGTTTATATTCATTTGGAAAAAAAATTTAATAGCTTTGCCTTTCTGAAGAGATGAAAAAAAATCCCCTTTTGGAATTAGTCTTTCTAATTTGTAAAGGTATCTGGGAACTGAAAAATATTCACTATCCATGAATAGCTAGAACTGAGTTAACGACAATCAATCATATTGTTTCTCTGTTTTTAAGTTTTAAATATTTAAGTCTATGTTTACACAATTACATTTTCCTCGGTTCTTACTTTCTAATATTTTAAATACAAAGAAACAAATGCATATATTATTTAAAGTGATGGATACATGTTAAAACATAAAAACTAAAATTGTTTTTTTAGATGATGGTGATTTCCTCCTAATTAGAGCCTAGTAAAACACTCCCTGAGGAATCTCATGAACCACAGATCATAAAACTGAACAAAGTAGGTGTCCATGTCTCACCAGTGTTCTCCATAGTACCCCACCCAGGGATTTCCTAGCATTTGTTTGAATGTTTCCAGTGACAAAGAAATCTGCTACCTATGAACCGTGTTTGTACCGAGCATCATGCAACTTAAAAGTTCTTCCTTATAATGAGCACCAAATCTGTCCTATAAATTTTTGCCCAATTAATCCAGGTTCTGTTCCTTAAGACTGAGGAGACCAAGGCCAGATGGATGTGTACACTGAGCATAAACATAGGCTTAGACCTGGCTTAGAGACTGGTCTCTATTACTGAACGAGTTATGATGGGTCATGGTCCCTCTCCAAGCCTGTTTCATGTATTATGGCTTGGATCTGGAATGTCTCCCAAAGGCTCCCGTGTTGAGGACTTGGTCTTCAATGCAGCAATGTACAGAGGTGAGTTTCAGAAAATGATCAGGTCATGAGGGCTATGACCTTACAATGAATTAATTCATTGAGGAAGCCAGAGCTGAATGACTACTGGGAGGTGTTGGAAACTGTAGGAGGATTGGAGGGAAATGGATGGAGGGAGTGGGTCCTGGGGATGTACCCTTGGGTACCATATCTTATCCCTGGTCCCTTCCTCTCTTTCTGTCTCCTTCCAACTGCCACTAGTTGAGCTGCTTTCCTTCAACTCATTCTTCACCATGACATTCTGCTTCTCCTCAGGGTCAAAACAAAGGAACCAGCCAACCATGGACTGAAACCTCTGAAACCAAAAGATGAGTCAAAATAAATCTCTCCTCCAAGTTGTTTTTCTTAGGTATTGTCACAGTGGATTAACACACCAGGGTATAAAATAAGAATGCTGATATCTGCTTAACTGTGTTGCTGTGAACGGCAGTGCAGTGCCACCTTACCACATGAAATGAAGGGTGCTGTTCCAGACTCCAGGGTAATCTCTCCTCCAGGCAACCCAGTTTGCTCTTTCAACTACTCCTTATGTAAAAATGGTGCAAGTTTAGCTGGGTGCAGTGGTACACGCATGTAATCCCAGTGGCTTGGGAGGCTGAGGCAGGAGGATCACAAGTTTAAAACCAGCCTCAGCAATCTGGCGAGGTCCTAAGCAACCCTGCCCTCAAAATAAAAATAAAAAGGGCTGAGGACATGGCTTAGTGATTAAGCACCACTGGATTCAATCTCTGATACAAAAAGAAAAAAAAAAAAGTGCGAGTTCATAGTCATCCATGTTCTTCTTTGTCTACACTTTTAAACATCAGGTGCCCAGTCAATACTGAGCATAACATATCAAATTGTAATCATCTGAGTGATCTCATTGATGAGATTTTTTTTTTTTAATTTAACAGTGCACATCCTGTTAAATAAAAGGTAGGGGGAAGCAAGTATACCCCTTGCTTTAGTTTAACCTCTGGGGTTAACAATGGAATTAATCTACTCTCTCTGAATTCTGGGGTCACTCCCACCTTTCACCTTTCATTAATAGTCATTACTAAACAGTTCCTGATATCTTATCCCCTTTTATGGGATCCCTCTGTCCTTGCTCTATTGCAATCTCCCTGTTCTCAGGCCTGTGCATATTGATTTGCCTGTAAGATGGTGGGGTGGGGTGGGGGTGGGGGTGGGGGTGGGGTGGTCTTGAGGTCAGATTCTTTCTTCAAGCCCAACATAGATATGCTTACCAGCTCAGAGGCTACAGAACCAGTTCTTGCCTCTGGGAAGCAAAGACTTTGAATCTCTCATTAAAAGAGAAGACTAACTAATAAATCATTTCACCCTAACACTGGAAGCTCCCACTCTCCATTATAGCCCTGGGGAAGATTACAGGAGAGAGAGAATCCAAGGGACAGAAGGGAGGATGTTTTGTAAATAACAAAGATCCACAGCTGTTTTGCTGTGCAGTCATCTTCTAGGCCAATAACTCCACATCTGCTTTAGTAACAAAGGAGTACGGGCTATTTCTGGAATGACCAAACACAATCTCACCCCCTGCCAAGCTCAGCACACTGAGATTAATTTAATCTGCTTCCCGCTTTCCCAGACTGCTTTTCGGCCTGCTTGAGGGAAAACAGCTTAACAGAGAAACTTGCAAAAACCTGCCCCGCTGGCTCTGAGGCCAGATGAAAGAGACAAAGAAATAGTCTATGGAATTCAGTTCCTTACT